TAAATGCCTGTGCAGCAGACAGTCCTACCAGAAAGATGCATTTCCAGCAATGAGCCCTGGTAACCCTCAACGCACACGTGATGGCAACAAAATGTAGGCATGTATGCTCCCACGGGAGCCACAAATGTAACTCAAATCAGCATCATTTTTTATGGCTTGGCCATGACCAGGGTGATGCTGAAGCATGGACAAGTCCCCCAGGGCCAGCAGCCCACCCTGACTGTCCCTAGGCTGCTGTGGGTGGGAGGCAACCCCAAGATGCCCAGGAAGGTGCCGGGCTGGGTGGGCTTCCATCACCCTTTGGGGCTTGGGTGGCCAGCTAGATCAGGCTGACAAGATTTTTATTTTACTGTGCTAAAGCTGTGAACTTTCTGAGGCTGCTCTTCCTCCGAGGTCTCCTGTGAAATGACAAGGCTTTCTGTTTGTCTTGGCTTGCCTGTGGAGGGGCTGGTTTCGCTTACACTGCTCACACCCTGCAGGGCCAGTCTGTCCTTGTCCTCTCTTGAGGAGGGTGGCCACTTGCAGGCAAATGCTGCCTGATCTCTTCCTTCAGTGCAGGACACATGAGTGAAATTAAGGAACCTGAGAGGATTGATTGCTGCCTCCTTGTGCACTCTGCGAGGGGGCATCTTAAGCCCCTGCGGTTACCTGCCACCACAGGAGAGTAGTCATACTATTTTTTCTTTGAAAAGAAAAATCTTGTGTCTTCCCTTTCGAATCAGCTGGGGCTAGACTGCGGAGCCATGTCCCTGGGAGTGTGTTCTGATTGCTTCTTCAACTTCTGTTTATACAATTTTACAAAATTTTGGCAGGAATCAAGAGCACATACCAGGGTGTTGGCTTTTATGAATCTCGTGGGATGTGAAAGTCAAGCTGACTCGATGAACTTTGGTTACATATTCCAGACAAGCACAATGACTCTATTTATTCAGACTTGGCAGCCAGAATGCAGATTGACTCTGTGGGTAATAAATTTTCACAGCCACAAAACTTCAGCAGCAACCAACCTGATCCTGTGCAAAAAAAATGCATATGAGGAAGCAGACTTGGGTTGCAAAAATATGTTAGATTATTATTCCATGTATGCGTACCAGGCAGTTAATTTATTTGGCTATCGATTGACATGAATTGCACAAATGATGCCAAGGATCTTTCTCCCCTTAAAGGAATTTTTTTCTATTACAAAATGTTCATGTTGCAAAAGGACAAGTGAGGGGGGGAAAAAGAGAATTGTTCATATTACAATTGACAATCTCCTTTTAATATTTCACCCAAGACTGATTTAAGTTATCCAGTGACCTCTACGGAGAAGAGCAGGGTATTATAATGGGGACTGTTTCATGTGCTATGCCACACTTCAAAGAACCAAAAGGCAATAACCACTACAATTCAGTACTCTGAACAATCTTAAGTACAATTTTGACATCTTCATGCTACAAAGCTTCAGATGCTTTCTGGGAGAGATGATGAAATTATTACTCTATGTGTTATAAATCAGAATGAATTGGCTCTTTAACTTGCAGATTTATGTTAACTACCTTGGTATCTGCTAATTGCATGCTCTTCAGATATTGATTGAGGATTAAAAAGTATCTTTTCTTCAATCTGTGTGGTGTAAAATATGCCAACAGGAAATTTTCTCTCTGCATATTAGATCCTATGATCACTGCCTGTAAAATTGAAACGATCAGTTTAAATGGATAAACTATGCTCATTAAAGAGGAAAAATACATTTATGTAATTAAAATTACGAGACTAATATGTGTGGATAATATAATTACTGTGGGCGCACACGTACTCAGCTCAAACTCAGCCTCTTTGGCTTCTCCTGGGTCTGTGAATCTCACTACCTTAATTGCTGGTGTTGAGGGAAGCATTCTTGGGAATGCTTTGCCCACTGCAGTCTCAAAGCTTTTAATCATGCCTCTGTCTTGCATTTGGCCTCCTTCATTCATGGCTCGCATTCCTTGGTTTGGTCACAGCAGTCCACACACCAGCCCTGGGAGCACAGAAGCACCTGTCCCCCTTTGCACCACTTCAGAAACTTCCCATTCACTGCTTGGCAATTTCAGACATAAATGCAAAATCTCCTCCAAAGTTTTCCCCCTGAACTTCCCCATTTAGAAATCGGAAAAATCAAAATCTTCCCAGCTTCTGTACAGCTCGCCTTCAGCTCTTTGAGAAACTGGACTACTTGAATAAGTCTGATTGCTCAAAGGTTAATTTATTACATGAGGAATATCTGGGAATCTCCCATGTGCTGTTCCTATTAATTCACCTCTGATTTTTTTTCTTTCCTGTTCCTGAGCTCAGGAGATGTAAGATTAAAGAGCTTCTGAGCTAGTAAGTAAAAGGAAACGAGTTCTGCTGACATTTAAAAAAAGGTCCATCTGAGCAGTTATTGGAAGAGAGAGAGACTGTGTTACTCTTTTTTGTGTCTATTTCCTGCAAGGTGGATGGAAAGGTAATGTTTTGTTTTTGTCAGCTGGTATATTTATTTAGGATTGTTCATTAAGCAAACCTGCAGATCTCAGCTAAGGTTCTACAAAGCATTTCATACAGCAAGAGCCAGCCTGTGCCTCCGGGAGATTTTTGTCTATAGGGTCGAGGTGAAAAGACCCAGCCAGTATCAACTGCATCTTGGAGCCCTGGTGACTGAGCACAGACCTTGTATAGCACACAAGCACGCTGAAGATGTTAATAATTACAATTACAAATCATTCCAATTACAAATTATAGTGCTAAACCAGAGGTCCACGTGTGCCTGCCCGATCGGCAGGGCTTTTCCACAATCCCTTCTCTGCCTAAACCTACTCATGTTCTTTATGCACAATAAACACTTTCACACGTCCTTTTCTGCTTGCTATGAAGCAAACCACAATTTTTTCTCTCTGGCTCTCCCAGCCCGTTTTTCTGTGACATCCATTACTCAGGACATGTCTTCTGGCCAGCAGCTGGTGCCTCCCCTATCACCCAGCCCCTGGCTGCAACATCATGGCACCTTGCTCTGCTTTTGTTACTCTTCAGAAGTCACTTCTATTCCTCACTTTACTTTGTCTTATGCTGTGAGCTGTATTTTAAACTATCTAGACAAGCAGGATAAGTAATTAAATGTGAAGCATTTCAGGATAAAATATGTTAAACAAAAATAAATGGCATAAATATGTAAATAATAGAACCTATGTGCTGAATCTTCTTAGCACCAAGAAGCTTTCCTCAAAATAGATGAAACAATGGTTTAGTATAAATATTAAGTTTTGATTTACCTGATGTTTGGAATATATTATGAAATAGAGACATATAATAACAAGAGTTAAAGACAATCGTGGAAGAATTTCATGCCTATGCTATGAACCTAGAATTACGTGTCTAAATTCCTGAATTTCAAAAATCTAGATGTCCATCCAGCTTACCCATTGAAACTCTAGTTACCCATGACTGAAATAATCATATTTGAAGCTCGCATGGTTTAGCCTCAGCCAGCAGCAGTACCATGCAGCTACTTGCTCACTCCCCCTACCCCAGTGGGATGTGGAGGAGAGGCAGGAAACAATACCAAACAAAACAAAACAAAACAAAACAAAACAAAAATAAAAAAAAAGTTTGTGAGTTGATATAAGAGCAGATTAACAGTTGAAATAAAATAAATAAAATATTAATATTATAAAAAGGGAGACAACAAAAAGAGAAATAAATTCCAAAGGACAAGTGATGCAAAATACAATTGCCCAGCATCCAATGACTGATGCCCAGCCCATTCCCTAGCAGTGATTGGTGCCTCCCAGCGAACTCCCCCCCGTTTATGTACTGGAAATAATGTTCTGTGGAAGGGAAATCCCTTTGGCCAGTTTGGGGCAGCTGTCCTGGCCATGGGCCCCCCCAGCTTTTGGTGCAGCTGCTCGCTGGCAGAGCAGGAGACACTGAAAAGTCCTTGACTTGGGGAAAGCTCAGCAACATCTGAGATATCAGGGAGTTATCAACACTGTTCTCACACTGAATCAAACCACAGCACTGTACCAGTTAGTAAGAAAAAAATTACTCTATCCCAGCCAAAACCAGGACAGAAAACCACATTATATCTGTGAGATGCAACCAGGAGCAGTACTGCCCTCATATACTCTGGTGAAGGCATGGCTTGTGCATTTTAGGGAAAGAAGAAAGGGAAGGGGGTCTTGGCTTCTCATTTCTAATCAAATCATCCATGCCAGGATATTGAGAAGGAGAGAAAACAGCTCAGCACTGCTTGGCAACAAAGCACTCAGCTGGTCATGGGAAAGTCAATTTTCAATCCAGCCTTATTCTACTGAGTCCTTAATTATTTAGACAAAACACAGCAATATTTTAAGGAAAACTTGGGAAACACCTCCTACAGCCAACAAAACCCAGCTCTCCTGACACATTGAAAACATTGGATGGTGTATCTGCCAGTCAGGTAGTTTAGGGTGTTTAAAACACAGGCAGTTGCTGTAATCACTGTGTTACAGAGTGAATCAAATGCACAGCCAAGGATTTCTTCAGTTCTCTTTAGCTTTCTTAGCAGGCATGAGCCATGCAAAGTCAGGACCAAAAATGCTCAGAGAGGCCAGGGCTGGGGAGATGCCGGAGGCAGGTAAGAGATAAGCAGCCCAACAGCTAATCCCCGGGGCCAGCTCATGATTGCAAAGTTGGCCTGAACCCTTAATCCAGAATTCCTGTTTCTCCCCTCCTTGGCCACTCTTTTAAAGAAAACAAATTCAAATCAGAAGGAAGCTGATACAAAAACCTTCTGGGTCGCATCAAGGTAATAAATCAAGAGCACTGCAGCCTGTTCCCTACCAATCCAGCAGTTAGCACATGCAGGCTGGCTCTGAGCAGCAACATCTGTTACTCCAGTTAGAGTACTGCCATGTATTTTGATAACCTTTATGTATGTTTAGAAAAAGCATTAGCAAAATATTTGCAGTAGCTCAGTCTCGACATGAAACATGCTTCAAGTGACACGTTACTTGTCTGGATCTTACCTGGTCATTCTCCTCCTCATCACTGCTTAACTTGAGGTCATCTTCTAGCATTCTGGAAAGCAAGCAGAATAAATTATAACTTATCAAAATGCTTCACATTGGGTATTTTCTCAGAGCTATGGTAAATATTTAATAATGTAAATGGAAAGAAAATATATTTTATCCTGGTAACTTCATAGCTGTGATACTTTATATCTTACCCAGTTGCTATCAGCTAACTTTTAAATTAATTTCCTCCTATTTATGCCTAAAAGAAAATGTTTATTAGAGTAATAATGGATTTTGCAAAGATTCTTGTTATTACAATCACTGACAAACAATTTTTATATGCTAAAAATATTTTTGATGCTGACAGGTCAGTAGTCTCCCTGAGAGGAAATTTTTTGTCCATTTGGCTTTGGGCTTACAAAACAGAAGTAGATGTTTACACTGGCAATACTGCAGCACAAAATAAGGTTCAGTGATGTTTCTGATAGGCCACTTTTATTTTATTGCACGTTTGATGTAAAATTGACATTGACTGAAACAATTAAAACTAAAATATATTGTTTCAGTGCACAAGAGTATCCACAGAATTTCAGTCATGTGAATATAGAAATAGAAAATTATAGGAAATAACGCATCTTTTTTTCATCTTCCTGTCCCATATCCTTTCCTCAACTTGCTTAAACTGGTTTGCAAGGAAGAGGAATCTGGTTTTACCTCCATACATTTTTTTTACAAGCTAAGGTTAAGTAACCAGCAGTTAAAGGAGTTGAAGATGTGCAAAGATTTCCCCCAGTGCTTGCACATTCTTAGAGAATAGGACCTATTTTTAAAAAGTGCCTCAGTAATAATAGTAATAATTCAGAAAGTTGCTAATTTTTCTTGCACTCTGGGAAAAAAAAGAGTCTGTAATTTCATCTCGGCTCCAGAAGAAAGCTTGGTGAGCAATTCAAACACATCCTGTGACGTGGGTGGTCCCTGAAGTATTGCAAGAAGACATATGTAGTAATTTCAAACCACCTCCTTGTACTTGTGCCTAGATCTTCCAAGAGCGTGCCTGAAAAGCATGACTCTTACATGGTGTGCTGTGTCTTAAAAGAGCGCAGAGCCTCACCACGCTCTCCTCAGCTCCTCGCTGTACGTACAGTCCCTGCCTGTTGCTGCTGTCACAGCTGCTTCCCTATTTCCCCATGGCACCTTTCAGGGAACGTAGGTGTATAAGAACAGGACTGGGGGTCAGAGCAGAAATTCTTGCTAGTTAATTTCTTAAAGATTCTCCTCTTGCTTTTTTCTCACATTTCCTTCTACTTGTGCCAACATTTCTCATCTGTAAAATCAACGTATCAAACTCAGCAAGATCCCTTGGCAATGCAGACACCTCAAGTATACAGGACACTCATTGAGTTGGAGGGACTTGACAATCTCCCAGCAGGACTTGCCTATGTTTTATCTCGATGTTCATTGTCAGGAAAAAGCTCTGTCTGCCATCTCCCGAATCAGCAAAACCTTTGATGGCCATATTAATGCAGGCACTGACCCAGCTAACAAGCCCTGTTGAGAACTGGGCAAACAGGATAGGTATGATGACACAGCATACAGCTCCTAGGAGCTGAACCAGGTCAGAGGGGCAAAACTTCCTGTAAATGCCACAAGATCCACAGTGGCCTTGGATCCTGTCACTTACAGGGTTCCAAACAATCTTATAATTGCTCATTCTTTTAATTAGATCTGTTTAGACCATCCCCAAGAAAACAGTGTACGAAAATAGAAAGCTCAGATCTGGGATTTGGCACCTATGTGATGAAATCTGCACTGATAGTGATTTAACCAGAAAGTGATATGTTTGTGTGAAAAGGAGAACTCAGGGTGTCACTGCCTGCTCTCCCTTGAGTGTGTGAATTTCTGCTAGTGATGTGGTAGTTAAGTACATTTACTTTAGGTTTAGCAGTTTAGTTCTTCTCCTAAATGGAAGCTGAAAAATCAAAAGCATATAATGAAAAATTCTAGATACCTCTGTGTATTTATTAGTGTCCTGGATTATTGTATTAACATACAAAAAAGTGTTTTGTGAGCTCATCATTAGAAGCAACTAGGATATTTTGAAGCCTTCGGGTTGTGTGGAGGTGTGAGACATGGACTACAATCTGGTACCATCCACACAAAAGGAACAACAAACAGCAGCACTGGTCCTTCAATCTCTCCTTGCTTGTACATCTCAGCCTGTCTTTATTTTCCCTGTCTGTTTTTCATTTCAGAAGTGCTGCTTTCCAAGAAAAGCACTGCCTGCCTGGGGCTGGCGGCCCCTTTTGGAACTACCTTCAGACTACAAACACACTCCCAACACTGGGGATAGGAAAAAACAGGTCATCATAAAATGCTTGCTTGCTTTTTTCTCCCTAGAGAGAGATCTGGCTGGCCTGATCCAAGTATTTGTCACAAGGATGTATCAGGTTGCCAGTGTACAGGTCTACCTTGTAAAGCAGGGGCTGTGCAGGTATAACCTCTGTGCCTGGAAGTCTTCACTGGCTCCCAGACAGCTTTCAGGTCAGGTCAGATGGGACCCTCAGCCCTCATCTACAAAGCCACAGCCAGAGCAGGACACACTGTCACCTGGCAGGTGAAGCTGAAGCTGGCCTGGGGAGAGAGGCTCCTTGGGCACCAGGGCAGCTCTCACAGCCCCAGCTGAAGCACACCCAGGGTGAGGAGGGAATGTTTATGTTACAGGGGATTCCATTTTGCAGTAAGTGTCTTTAGTAAGGTATATCAATTTTGAGTATGGATGCTTTTGAGGAATGTTTCTCCTTAACAGCTCATTTCCATCATGAAAACAATGGTGGCTGAAAGAAAAATTCCACAACTGGACCAGCAGACCCCACTTGAAGAGTGTGAGAACAGAAGAGAAGAAAAATACTTGAAGCTCAAAAGAGGCTTTACATTAAATTGTAATTTATCTCAGAAACACTTCGACACAGATTCAGCACAGAATGAGCTTGGTACACCCTGTGTTAGCAGAGCACTTCAGACTATGTTTAAAACAACCCTTGCTCAGGATGGGATTTCTTTACATATTCTGGCAAACTTAGTGTAAGGATGGAGAGACAAGCACAGAAAAGTGCATGTGCAAACACAGCCTTTACGCTTTTTTCAGAACATGTAAAATTCAGGCCAGTAAGTGACATAATCCACGGGCTTTCAGATTCTTTAAAATGAACCTGGCTTTGATGTATTTGGGCACTGCTGAAGAGGTAAGTAAATACAACCTTGTAAACAAAAGCCAGAAAAATGAAGTGGTATTCAAAGACGCTCTGAAAAACACACAGCACCACTTAGGGCTCCTGCACTTGAAAAGAGCACATACAGTCAGGAAGTCACTTTGCAGAACCTAATTATACGTTTTAGTGAAATCTCTGTGAGGCTGTGGAGGCAGTGAGGGGTGGGCGCAGGCAGCAGCGCTCACCGCACTCTAATTAATGCATTTGTTCCTTTCTCTACAAGGAATGCGACAGGTAGGGACATAATGAAAGGAAATAAGGATGGGTTTGGGATATTGAGAAATGCCTCAGCAAGCCAGCTGGTTTCATTCTCCAGTAACCAAGGAGAATGGGGTTGCAGCCTGGGGTGATGGGCCATTCAGGGGAAAAGGAGGAGGTGTGCAGGCTTACTTACATGAACAGGAAAATACAAAGTGGTCTAGTGGGCATTGATATACAACACCTGCCAACCTCAATGTGACTGTGTGTCCAAATCTCCTACCCCCAGATTATTAGGAAACCTGACCTGTTTTAATCTGGGGGTTACTCACTGCATTGGTTCAGAAGAGTACTGGGGCTGGGGTATCCCTGTGGTGCACTGCAGAGAGACCTGCCGGACTCTTGTTCATCCCAGCATGCCAAAGGGCCAGGAATTGCTTCTGATCAAAATTAAAGGGGATTTGGGATGGGAGGTCATCACAGGCTGCCAGGAAACCACCTTGCTCAAATGGAATAGTTGAGACTTGCAACTTCACTGTTTTGCTTGTCTGCCTTTTTTCCTTATTTGTCACTGAAGGAAAGCTAAGTCCCAAGCAAGTGTTATCTTCAGCCCCAGCCAGGGTCCAGGGAGTAGCAGGAAGACATCAAGTTTCTTCTCTGGGAATTAACATCCAACTAACAACAAGTTTCAAGTGTGAGGGCAGAGTAGGGCCTTATGTCAAAGACTTCTGACAGAGCTGGAAGATTCTCCTTCTGCAAAGGAGCTGCTGGGGAAGGAGATGTCAATGCAGCAGCGTCTGGAGGAGGCTGTCCTCAAGAGCCAGCCGAAAATCTGTTGTCACTTCTGACATGCAGAGCCTCTGTGAGGTGTTTCCATATAGAAGGAGGTCTATTTTCTTCCACAGTGAAGACATGCCTGAAGACTGGAATTATCCTTCACATCTGCTGGTGCACATGAAAGAAGCAGCAGGCACCACACCTTGTATTTCACTTTAACCTCTGAAAATTTTCGTATTCCTTGGCCTATTATCTTCTTTCCATCCCCCTGCAAATTACTTATCGAGGAATGAAACTCTCAAAAAATTCCTCTGTTTTTTTTTGTGATTGGAGAGATTCTGTTTTGGCACCTCAAGAGAGGCTATACAAATGAGGAACAAAACTCTATGTCCCTCTGGTGGTCTAAGTTACTGTACAAGACATGGTCTTTCTTCATGATAAAGCCGATAATCAATATGACCAGGAAAAAAATCAAGAAGGGAAAGGAAAAATATTGATAGCAATTAACTCATTAACACTAATGCTTTAGGAGAGAACATGCCAATGGTTTGTGAGTCCAAGGCACAAATACATGTATATTGCAATTGTCATTTAAATAAACTCAGAAGTTGCTGTCTTCGCAATGTGTAAAAGAATTCCTGAATGTGTTAATCTGATCAAGTATATTGTCCCAGTTTAATTCTAGGCAGTATCTCAGTCAGAATACTGTGTTTATTATGGACTTCTATGATTTCTGCTCATGACGTAGGAAAGGAACTTCAGTAGTGGAAAAATACTTTGATTTTAGCTGAAGAGGAACCCCACTAAGCAAAGAGTTGTA